CTTCCGGTCTCGCTCGCCTATAGTACCTCCGTCCCAAAATAAGTGCAGCTGTGGATATCTGTGTTCAATGTTTGACCGTCCGTCTTATTTGAAAATTTTATGAAAAAAATAAAAATATTTAGTCACACATAAAGTACTATTCATATTTTATCATCTAATAGCAATAGAAATGCTAATCATAAGAAAATTTCAAATAAGAAGAACGGTCAAACGTTAAACGTGAATAGTGTAAAACTACACTTATTTTAGTACGGAGGGAATAGCTACTTCGACCGTGATGGCGTATGATATGCTGCACTAGCACACGGTTGCCACTACCAATCTAGCAGTAGATAGTGGTAGTGTCATGGACTGTACTCCCTCCATCCTATAAAAAAGTAAAACCTGAGTTTTCGTTTCCAATTTTGACTGTACGTTTTATATGAAATTTTTTTATAATTCGTATTTTCATTGTTGTTAATTGATAAAACATGATTAATATTTTATGTGTGACTTGTCTTTTTAATTTTTTTCATAATTTTTTTAAATAAGACGGACGGTCAAACGTTGGACACGGAAACCAAGGTTTATCTTTTTTTTTTTGAACGGAGGGAGTACGTCTGTACTGCTCGTCTTCTTTTTGTTTGGGGGAGGTTTGAAAAAAACGGTGGCGGTGGTCAGACCGTGAAAAAAAGGCTAAGCATTTCTCCCTCTTTCTTTCATCCTTTGGGGCGGTGGAAAATGATGGTGCGCGGCGACGACAAAAATCGTGCGAAAGCGGGAGAGCGAGTTGTCTCTGCAGTCTGCACTGACCTGTGGCGTCGGTTCATGGGGAGGGGAAAGGGGCTCGGGTCGGACTCGTCCACAGGGGAGCAAGTGAAAGGACATGGAAAATTGTATGCAAAGCTTTACTGCTGATGCAAGAGAGTGACTTTTATATATTGTGTTTGTTTGCCATTTTTCGTGTTACAAGCTTACAAGGCTTGTACTACGAAAGCTTACAAGCTTTCGTGTTTGCCATTTTATCTTATCAAGATTCAATAAGGTAGGGGTAACAAACTAAACGGCCTCCGTATCCAACCAAAATTTAGCATGGTTAAATTTGATATCAAACCAAACTGCTCTACATATGGAATTTGTACCAAAGCATTACGCTCAACTCTACAAAATCTACCAAAGATACACGCGCCCTTTTTGTTTGAAGAAAAAGCTAATAGAGCTAACCAAGTTTTTGTGGCATGAGAACCACGTGAGGCAACTGCTACACTCAAGTACTTGGATTTCTAAGAGGTAGATATTTCTTTTTTGGCTACTGAAGAAACTGACTGCATAATCTTTCTCTGGATGCTCGAATATAATGTAGTTCAATGTGAAATCGACATGGCACACGCCATTGTTAACCTAGTTGGGTGACCCACCTGATTGCATTCACAGCATATTTGCCCGGGCTATGCAATTAGTACTCTTCACAAGTCACAAGCATATATAAAGACCTATGGTAGTGCAGAAGCCTATTGTTTGGACTGTCATAAGCTGGGATGTTTGGAACGCTGTAAAATTCCCGTACGAAGAACGGTTTTCTAGTAAAAACTTTTGCTGAAGATAAGCCAAATTAACTGAAGATAAGCAAGCAGTCACTAGCTTGATATTGTAGAGTCAAACCTCACCATTTATCGATCAGTGGCGCGTCTAATTGCCGTCTATCACATTGACTAGCGTCTGAAATTAGAACACATAGTAACCACAAAACCGAGAATGGCGATGCCGAATCCTGAACCTAACCCACTACAGAGGCTCCTGAATCGAATTGAACATCTGGTTCTTCTCCAGAGCAGGTGCTCGGCTTAGGTGTGGCTCAGCTCAAGTCAATCGTATTTGGTGCTGATTTGCTACTTACAGTGGGCAAACCACACATCTTGCACGTCAATGTAGAAGGCGACCATTTCTCGATTCACTTTTAGTAGTAACGAAATTACCTACGCCACCTTGACAATCTTTAAACCCTTTTTTTTTGACACAGATGTACCATAGTGTCCTGTCATCTGTTAACACAAGGAAAATCCAGAAGTGTCATCCGAATGCTGTGCAAGAAAGGAGGCACATGGATTCAAAAGAACAAATCCATATTTTCTGAAAATTGTTGACTACCAAAAACAAAATCTTGTGCTGCTCCATTCGCCACCTCAACCATTCCAATACATAAAAAACCGGATAAGAGGGGAGCGAAAATGAGAAGTGAAACGGGTGAAGCAGAGCGTCCAGGGCTTCTTCATCATCATCATCATCAGAGCGTCCAGGCCTTTAATTGAACTCGCAGTCGGGAGGCTGCAGGTGCGGCGTCACTGTTGCCGCGGTTCGTTGCGGCATCCTTGTAGCAATAGCAGCACATCGGCGCGAGATCGCTCTACGTCTCGACGTGCGAATCTGATGTAACTCTCCTCGTCCTTTGCGGCGGATTCGTCCGGGCTCTCCGTGCGTAGGTGTGCTACCGGCGCGCGCGTGCGGCACCACCGGCACTGCCACTGCCACCAATGCGCGAGAACGTAACAAAACGGGCAAACGGCGCCTTCCTTCTCCACTCGATTCCTTGTCGTCATCTCGCGTCGGGGTTTTTGGAGCAGCGTGCGGGAGAGCCGGCCGGGCCGGTCACGCCGATGTGGATGTGGGCGATGTGCACGCTGCGTTTGTGTGCCGAAACGAGAGAATTTTTCGCCGATCGATGTGTCCAAGACTTCCCAGTGTAATGGGAACTCATCGGATTATTCTTTTTGATTCTTGGTTACCTTAACTTTCCTTTTCTTTGCTCGGTGGTGTTCCTCTCTCGTTAATAAGATATATACTTTTCAAACTATAAAACGGCGTGTTTCTTAAAAAACAATTTATATAAAAGTTGCATTAAAATATTAAATAAACCTATTTTTCAAATTTATATTAATTAAAAAAATAATTAATCACATGTTAATAACTTTTTCGTTTTGCGTACCCTACCTTCGTCTTCATCTTCACTATATTCTAAGATGTTTTTTTTTAAATCTATCTGGTATGGGGTTTGGGGCGTACAAGGTGAGCCAAGTGATGCCATTGATGAGGAGAGTTTTGCTTGGAAGAGTCAGCAAAGAACTGGGAGAGTTCACCGGCTTGAAGCCTCCATTTTCTGCACGGATGCGATTGCAGCGTAGATGATGCCGCGGCAAGCAAGGAGAAAGATGAGCTCGGCGAGGGGGAGAGTGACACGCTGACAGGGATACTACGGAGCAGATAAGATGCACGGAGCACCGCTGCCGTGCAACACGGCAGCGTCGTCGAAGAGCGGCACGGCACGGCACGTCTCAGGATACTACTAGTAATAACTTCGAGGCAGCGCGACAGGAGCAGACTACGTGAAACGATCGCCAGCGCAGCTTCTGGCACGAGAGAGTTTCTCAGCGAGATCGACAAGGACAATGATGAATTAATCGATGAAATCTACCGTACAACACAAGGCAAAAAAATGGGAGAGGCAGGCAGCCAGGCAGGGCCTGATCCAAGGTGCACTGGCACTAAAAATCTGAAACATGTTCTGGAAATGGAATGCCGAAAGGCGAAAGGGCCAAAGGCTATTATCGCTGGATGTCGTAACATTATCTTGTCAAGATCCATCTGATAGGAGAATGGTCATAGCAGCAAAGGACGGGGCCAAATCATTGAACGCGACAGCTTTGATGACCATGTAATGTAGCAGAAGGGATCAGTACGGTATCTGAAGCCAAAAGAAACGGAGAGAAATAAAGGAGAAAAAAGGATTAGATCTGACGTCCTGCGTTTTGCACGTTCACGTACTAGCTCCCCTTGCGCAATTATGCAAGTTACCTGCAGTTATGGAGTGCACACAACCGCGCTTCAGATGTACAGCTAGTATAATAACATCAAGCATCACCAGAGAATCAATCAACCTGATACAGGTGAACAATAATAATATCACGCGGTTGCAGGATAAGATTTGTGTAAGATGCTAATCTGTCATCGACGAAGTGATGGAGATTTGAGAGGACAATGGCGGCAACCCACCTAGCGGCGAGTCAACCCAGAACAAAGGACTAAAACAGAAAGGAAAAAGGAACCAACAATTTTGCTAATTTCATGGAAAATAAATTAGCCAATGGTTTAAAACAAGGCAGACGAGAGTTGAGAGTTGTCCATACTCTTTGTACTTTTCTAATTACATAAAGAGTTGTTCATACACCCTTTTTTTTTAAGATAGTGAATAGAAATCCCGTCTCTATATCTATCAACGGATAGATATATAACCAAATATGTATCACGTACTTTTGTGTCCGTTTTAACACACGCTTAAGGTTACACCCACCAAGATTTAAACACCATTAATTACACTGCCACACCAAATATCCTTTCCAATCCTCTTCTCTTCTTTTCTTTTGGATACCTTAGTTTGACCATAATTAGTGGGTAGGTGAGAAAAGTTGCTGATAACTGATAAGCGTAGCCACTATGCATTAGCTACTCTATCCTCTAGGGTGCTCTCAAAAGATATGTGAAGGTTTGAGGCCATCCTTCCGTGTCAGTTGACGCCTTGCCAAATCCACCACAAAAGGCTAGTGCATCAACATCATCACCATTCATCACATGAGGACATACTACACATGCAACAAGCCTGCCCGACACAGGAACCCTTTAGATTATTAGCAATTGTGAAGCAATGTGGAGATCGGATCAAGTGATTTACTAATCTACTAGCAAGGCCCCCCCACCAACAGGAATGTCACTAACCTATCAATGTGATGACTGTTCCTCTGAATTCTTCCTGCCAATGCATTGCTGGCTTTTGGGTCACGGATTCACAGCTCTGGAGTCTGGAGCTGCAACAGCTGACGACGAAACGACAAAGCAGGCACAACAACTCAGAGCTGCCAAGATCTGATCAGAGCAGGCATAACAACCTAAGATACTCCTTCAGTTCCGGTCTTGCAAGCTCAATCATTACTGTTGAGAAGCCGCACTCCAGGAAAATGATTGAAATAAAATCCAAAAAGACGATTACTGGATTGAACTTAGTCTCACATTTTAATCCACATAAATGTTACTTCCTCCGTTTCATATTATAAGATTTTCTAGCATTGCCCACATTCATATATATGTAAATGAATCTAGACAGCATTTATATGAATGTGGGTAATGCTAGAAAGTCTTATAACATGAAACGGAGGTAGTATCTCATATTATCTATCTCAAAACCAACTGTATTTAATACAGCATTGAGAATATCTAGAGGAGGTATCAAACTCTCTCAAGGGCCAGGGCAAAAAAATGTTCTACACCTCACACTACAACCTTATATTAACTATTAGCAACCCAGCAAAGGACTACATTTCCACTTCTGAAAAAAACTCTGAAAAAAGGAAGATGCCGATGGATTGTACAAGCTATTATAAGTGGGAATCATTTTGATTGTTGAAAGACTAGTGGCTAACAAGAAAATGACAACATGGAGATTTCCTACTTCAGGAAGGCCGATGATACAAAAAGGAGTGCATAAGTAACACATGCAGTGCTCACTTCCAAGTTTCTTGGACCAGGCAGTATAGGCGGAATTACAGAAACCATCAAGAATGTGGCAAGGAACCAGGAAGCAAAGAAGGATCCGAACCTGAAAAATCAGACAAACTTAGCATCAGGAATTGACCACACCTATGCATAGCCAGAGACTATATCCTTTTGCCTATTACACAAATTATACATGAAAGGTTGACAACACATTAAAGTCACCTAAATGATAAACTTCAAATCATCCAATCCTTAATAAATGAATCCTATGAAAGCAAGTTTAAAGTGTTACTAGTATTGACATGTCTATTACACACAACTGCAGTATGCCATCACAAAACAACTACTCTCTGATCCATCACGAATTCATGATAGTTGCCTCAAAATATAGAACTTTTGTAGAATAAACAAGATTCACACATTTTGCACCATTCCCATTGAAGAAAAGTTCTAAAAAAGCAATGAGATTGACATGCCATAATAGGTGGCGCCTAGGTTGCACTTGCACATAATAAGAACAATGAGATTGATAGAAGAATGAATAGGCATAGAGTGAAATACATGGCCGGTCCTTAAACTTGTGGGGTGGTGTCACTTAGGTCCGTGAACTTGAAAATTACATGTTTAGGTCCGTGAACTTGGTTTAATGTACCACACCTAGTCCAATTGTCATTTGACCACGTTTGACCGCCAACGTGGCATGCCACGTAGGCAACACTTTTGTGCTCAGCCCCCTCCACATATACCTTCGCACATAACTTGCCTTGACTAGAGCATTTCAACCCAAATCCCCCAAAATATCCCTAAATCGGCTAGGGTTTCAACGGTGAGGTTAGCGGAAAGAGGCCGAGAGGTAGCGGCTGTGGCGGCCTCGGCGGTGCGATAAGTGGCAGGAGGAAGCGCAGTGCAGCGGGGTTAGCGGTGGCACGTTTATGCAACATGTTGTGATGTGGAGGGGGCTGAGAGCAAAAGTGTTGCCTACGTGGCAATGCCACGTTGGCGGTCAAACGCAGTCAAAGGATGTTTGGACCGGGGTGGTACATTAAACCAAATTCACGGACCTAAACATGCAATTTTCAAGTTCACGGACCTAAATGACACCACCACACAAGTTTAGAGACCGGCCATGTATTTCACTCTATTATTTATTTGATAGGTTCTCAAAACATTTGATGAGCACCTGGCACTGAATAGACAGACACTTTGTATTGTGAAGGCTGATGAATGAGTTCATAACTCGTGGGGTAAATCGGATCATGGATCCAATGAAAAACAAAATTTGAAGAATATTCTGGATTAAGGAAACTGGTTGCATTATCAGTTGACAATATAAAATGATAGTGATATATTCTATTATATACATCAAATAGTGGAAACAGGCTCCCAACATTATTTTGATAAGAAAGCTGGCCTAATTACAGTAGATATCATAATATGACAAGAATGATACATTCTATTATGTATTTCAGAGGCAAACCCTTTTACTTTTAAGTCCTAAATATCAAAAGCTACCATAGAGTGCAGACCGGCAGATATTAAATTGTCAAGTGAAAAAAGTAGAAAATATTTAGGATTCAAAAAGCAATCCAAAATTGAATCCCAAGCCAAGTACTACAATCCAGTCCTTGTATTACGGGCTTGAAGTTCTAGAACTGCCCAGTGCAGCATGATCTGCACAACATAAAAAAAGCTCCCAGAATATTTTGAACGATGCAGCACGAAGTTTACAACACGCCAGGTGTGGAAGACAGAGAGAAATAAGATGTCCTCGCTTTCATGAGGTGAGAACATGTTCTTGTGTGCATTTTACATATTTGTCCTCGGAAACTATGCAGAGTTATGCTTTGAGCAGAGGAGTGATCATGTGCTGTGTAAACACTATAGTGTATGGAACTAACCATAGATTACTCGGATATACCATTAGCTAAAGGCTAAAACACACAAAAAAACTGCAAAGAGGAAGAAAACATACCCATAAAAGAATGTTCGCCATCCACTTTTCAGCCTCTGATAAATGAAATAGATATTTGCTGCACAAGAGATGGCCACCTGGAGAGTTGGCCCTTCTTCAGTAGGGAAAACAAGGGTAAGCACTCCAAGCAATACAAAAGTTATTGCTGTCTGCCAAATCACTTTACTAGAAGGTGTTTGAAATCTTCCCTGAATAGCCTTGACTGGACGTGACTGAGTAAGTTCCCTATACTTTTTCTTGAGATCCACTTTTGGTTTTTTTCTATCAGAGAAACTCTGCATGATGATTCTGTCATGGGCAGACTCAATTGCATCAACACTTGGCTTATGCCCTGCATACTTGTTTATCAGAAAATTCCTGGCAGCTCGAATTTCTTCTTCAGATGCTTCCCTGCTGATTCCAAGTCGCTGATAGGGATCCTTCACATGGATTCTAGGAAAGATGGCTGAAGAAATTAAGCGGTTAAAAAGTGAGGTGATAATTACAAAAAAGAACTAATCCAAACAACAAAACCGACAGGACAATAAAAAGTATATGTGATCTCAAATAAAACATGAGAGGAACAGATTGTGAGAAAAAGTATATGTGATCTCAAATAAAACATTAGAGGAACAGATTGTGAGACTAAATGGCGTGATTTTGATATAATGTCCAATGCTTTGGCCATGGTATAGTTAGGTATTTATACTTTTACAATTTAATATCAAGCATGCCTTACAGCAAACTACACAATTTGTTACAGAGGTATACCAAGTGGTTCCTAGTAAACCATACTGCTCGTTACTATAATTCAACATGACAAATTTGGTTGGTAAAAGTACATATATGTACTTACTATGTTACATTTTTTTCTTACATAGCCCTAGGAAGTTAAATACTTACGAGTTGACGAGTCAGCTGTGTCACCAAATGATGCAGTAGCAAGCGGTGTGATTCTGGTGTTTCGCGGTGCATAACAGAAAGGAGTACTATACTTTGTGTATCTGCATGAAGGATCGCAATAAGATTTCCCACTGCATAAACTAAAGAAATCTTTGGCAGAGAGTTGATGAGGCCAGAAGAAGCACAAGATACAATACCTATCCACATTGATGAAAAGTTTAACACTTTCCTTACGTCCCCTGCTGAAGGCCAACGAAGAGACAAGTCCCAAGGGTGCACTCGACGCCCTCGAAGTAACCGGACATCGAGCAGCCCTTGAAGGATTGATTGCTAGACTATGTGCCAACATCTCAAGGAATAGTTGAACAGCCTAAATTGAGGCCTTTCCCCTCCTAAGCACAACAACAGTAAATTCATCAATCACCTAGAACAAATTTAGCAAAGGAAAACCAATGCCATGCACAAAGATACACAACCGAACGCTAGCAGATTACCCACACCCATTAATTAAAAAAAGTACAATCATCACAATATACAACTTAGGAACCTGGATAAGAAAGCAATTAATTCAGACAAGGAGGAACATATCGAGCGATTAGCAGCCAACCGACCGTCACCCTCAGAAATCAAGGGGTGTGTAGCCTGAAAAATTCACACCATTCACCACACAGTGCCACCGGAACCCTACATGCCATTACCAACCCTACAACCCACGGACCCTGCACCTGCATCAGCATCCATCCCGGCGTCTAACCTAACCTGTCCTAACCTAACCATCGGTGCACCGGCGCCGCACCGGAATCGAGCGGGGTCAAGAAGGCGAAGACGAGGAGCCTTACCGTGGGAGGTGACCCGCGCGTCCGGCGGACCAAGAGCGGCGGCGCTGGGCGGAGGAGGAGGCCGCCTCCGTGGATAAGGGGGGGCGGGGTGGTGTCGCGTCGGTGAGGGTACAGGAGAACGCTGCGCAGGGTGGTGGTGGTACTTCCGTAATTTCCTTCCGATTTCCTCCTCGTCCTAGATGGCCCTATACTCTCAGGGCCTAATTGGGCCCAGCCCAACCGCGATCCCAAAAAAGGAGTGGGCCCCACCTGGGAACGGAATGCAAATGCAATGGCCACGGTCAAGGTCGTCCCCCTTCTCCTGCAGGTGGGCCCTGCTCTCCCACGTCAGCATCACTCCAAGTGTACTTTAATGTGTGTCTGAGGAGGAGAATGGGATTGAGTAGATTGAGAAGATACGTAAAATAAGATGAGCCATTAGCTCATGATTAATTAAGTATTAACTATTTTAAATTTCAAAAATGAATTAATATGATTTTTTAAAACAATTTTCCTATTTAATTTATTTTAAAAAAACGCACCGTTTAGTAATTTGAAAAGCGTGCGCGCGGAAAACAAGACTCAATCTCCCCTATCACCGAACAGAGCCTAAGTTTATCCACTTGGACAGTGGGGGTGGATACACGCACGCACGCGATCCTCCGCCGTCCGCTTCACCCCGCGCGGGCGATCCTCCGCCGTCCGCTGGGCTCCGCCTCGGAGATCCGGCCTCATCCGCCTCGTCGTCTCCTCTCCTCCTCCCCCACTCGCGTCGCGTCTCCTTTCTTTAATTGCTTCTCTCTCTTCTCCCAATTGCAGTCCTCTCCCCCCCACTAATCCCACCCGGTAATCCCTCTCACGATGAACGGCCGCGGCGGCGATTCTCCGGCGACGAATTGCTGCAGGGGCGGTTCTTCTTCTTCGTCTTCGTCTTGGCGCCGGTCGATGTGGGTCTGGTCGTTGAGTTTGTATGCGATTTGACCGCTCCCACGCACCTGTGGCGTAGTTGGTTGCGGTGCAACTGTTCGAGCTATTGACTGTTTGGCTGGCTCTCTCCTCGGCGTTATTCTGTGGCCGTTTGGGGGATTGGGAGTATTGGAATCCTACTCTTCCAGGTACCCATGATAATAAGTTCTTCCCTCCAAAAGAATTCTTTTCTTGACCATTTCATCTTGCCTTTTGGAGTTTTGTTGACCTGGGCTAAAGTTCACTTCTGTCTTTGCTTAATATGCGTGTGGGAGTAGAGTGTTCTGCATGCTATAAATGGAAGGTTTCTTTTTTGTCATCGTGCATGGACAGGGCTAAGCGCTCGAACAGTTTTGGAGTGTTTGACCGTTTTATGTGTGTGAGAAGTGGATCCCTGGGGATTATATGTGTTATTTCTAGGCTTGCAGCGGAATAAGGTTTATTGTTGGAAACTTTCTTTCTAAGATCTTGTTAATTTCATTGATGGGACTAGTGCACATTCAACAATAGTAAGTTTTAGAAAAGGAACAACAAAGGTGCACTTTCAATATGACTAGGATGTTTGCTCTGCACTTTAGCCCCTATAGTTTCCTGGACACGCTAAAAAAACGCCCTTCACACTTATCTTACCTTATACTAAAGCCATTAAACTTAAGGGATTTTTTAGACAATTTCTTGTTTTATCTCCTAGAGCTCACAACTAGGTGCTTTAACCTCCGACCAGTGCACCGTTCATCTCCATTTTTAGGGATTAATCAGCCACTTTTTGTTTAATCATCCGACTAATCGTCCGCATATTGCACTTGATTATCATTTAAATATCTTTTATGAACTTCATCTTCAAGATGTTTAAGAATATTCACACCACAGAGTACTTCTCTTGATGCTCATAAATTAGCAGTTCCAGTTTGATATTAAAGTTTTTAGTCACCATATACCTTTAACTTCCCAATCTAACTTTGTTAAGATCCTTAAATTATGTACTTTATGGAAAATCAATAAATAATTCAGGTAAATACGATCTGTTTTTTGTTTTTGCATTATCCAAATAGTTGTTCCAGATACCTTTTCGGTATCCATATGTCCATATTTACTTACTGCCTGAGTAACTGAGTACTTTTTCTCGGTAATTTCATATGTTTTTGCTAAGCTAAGGTTTTGGGCTTATAACTGTCGAGTCATTACAGTTTTCCTTTACAAGATATGATGATTTTTCCCCCAATATGGCAATATCTAATCATTACCTTCGGATTTTGGACCAGTTCTCCTAAGTTCTTCACAGGAACAAGTCTGCAATCAGGATGGTTTCTGAAGTCTTTGCTAACTTTGAGCTTAGTGACTTGATGGGTAATTGATTCTCTTGGGTGTTGTTGCATTTGTGCTGTAACGTGGATAGGAGTCATGGAAGGTGTGGTAACCAGTTCAGTTGGTGAACCAAATCAAGACAATGAGCCAAGGGATTCTTCAATAGAACTTCCCAGAGTCATTACTGACATGGAGACTTCAGCCATGCATGATCCTGAAGCTCAAAAGCTAATTGGACATGAAGCTGATACTGAATTAACGCCTTATGAAGGAATGGAATTTGAGTCTGAAGATGCTGCGAGGGATTTCTACAGCAAATATGCAAGACATGCAGGTTTTAGAATTCGAATCAGCAGGTACACTCGTTCTAGACGTGATAATTCAATAATTTCTCGTCGTATTGTCTGCTCAAAAGAGGGGTTTCATGAAACTCGTGATTGTGAAAACCTCCATGTGGACCAGAAACAGCAAGCAAGGGTAGGAACTAGAGTTGGTTGCAAGGCCATGTTAATGATTAAAAAGTTTGGGCCTGACAAATGGGTTGTTACCAAATTCATAAAAATCCATAATCATGGACCGGTTCCACCAAGAAAACCTCATGCTGGAGAACATCATGATTGTGATCTAATGGAAAATCCACATTCTATTGAGGTGGACCCTATTGATGAGCCAGTCGAGGGTATGGAATTTGAATCTGAAGAAGCTGCTAAATTATTCTATATTAACTATGCGAGGGTTAATGGTTTCCGTGCACGTATTAGCAGGTACTGCCGTTCAAGACGTGATAATTCAATCATTTCACGCCAGATCGTGTGTTCCAAGGAAGGCTTCCGTGAGGTTCGAGCCAGAAAAGATATTACAGATGGAGGCAAAACAACGAAGCGCCCTAGAATGATAACAAGAGTTGGATGCAAAGCTATGATTGTAGTGAAAAGGATGAACTCTGGAAAATGGATGGTTTCTAAATTTGAGAAGGAGCATAACCATTCTTTGTTATCTTCTAGAGCAGTCCCTATTACATCAAATGATTCTTCTAGAGAAGTTATTGATTTTGCTGCAACGAGTAATGATCCTAATGAAGTAAAGGCTGAAGGATGTAGCACAGGAATTCAATGTAATTCTACAGATTCACTAACTGTCCTTTACAACCATCTATGTCAGGAAGCCATAAAATTTGCAAAAGAAGGGTCAGTTACAGAAGAAATTTACCATGTGGCAATGAATGCCTTGAAAGAGGCTGCAGAGAAGGTTTCTGAAGTCAAAAGGAGTCACCCGACAATGTCACAGAGTAAACATGAAGTTATGCAAATGGAAACTATGAGTGCTTCGCAATGTTCAAATGATGACAAACAGAAAACAATGACACCACAGCTCAAGTTTTTGCAAGAGCCCAGTCCCAGTCTTGTGCTAATACCAACCAACCTTTTGACTCATTCAAGCTCGAATTGTGCTGACAATATTCCACTCTCATGTGATTTAACTATAAATGGTAACTATGTTATGATAATGATAAGCTAATCCATTGCTTTGTTAGTGCTTTCTCCACACCGAATGATGTTGGGATAATTGTTTTATTTGTAACTGTTGCTTTTGTATCAACAGCGGGGGAAGTCAAGCATGTATCAGAAAGTTCTTGTTTGGCTGCGAACAGAAAGGAAGACTCTTCGCAGAAATCCCAGGTTACAAATTACCTGCTTGCTTATATGTCATACTGTTACTAAGGGCCTGTTTGGCACAGCTCCAGCTCCAGCTTCACCCCTTCTGGAGCTGGAGCTCAGCCAAACAGTTTCGGCTCCACCAAAACTGGGAGTGGAGCTGAGTGGAGCTCTCTCACAAAATGAACTAGAGTTGTGGAGCTGGGTTTAGGCAGCTCCACAACTCCACTCCAGACTCAACTCCTGGAGTTAAATTTAGGAGTTGGAGCTATACCAAACAGGCCCTAATATACCTAGACGATTTGTGTATTCTGTATTGGACTAGAAAGATCTTATGCGTAGTTCTGACCGCGGATTCCACTTGTAATCAAGCCTTACAGGGAAAGGATGAAAGGTTTCATGTACTTTCTAAAGAAACTACGGTTGCTATTCCTGCGATACCTCTCACGCTGTACATGCCTATAATGAAGAATCCAACTGGAGATTCTGCAGGTAATCCATTTCCTTCTGCTGTTTACAGGAAATAAGTGTAAAAGTAATATTTAAAATTCTAGATAGAAATTACAGATGCATCAGTTTAGAAATCTATTAGATATTTATGCCTGTCAATTGTTTTCTTCATCATATGTGGCAAGATAAGATAGTAAGTTTACAACACTAAAATTTTAGAAATGACCCAATAATTATATGTTTAGTAATGCCTCTTGACACCATTTTCTTTTGAAGGAACAAGAATATTCGTGTGTGGTCTGTTGTCCTCATCTGCAAAAATTTACCAATTGTTTTGCCTACTATAGTAGTTTGCCTGACAATTTAGTTCGATAGATCTTGAAACTCTTCAGTTTGGCATTTCTTTGTTTCTTTGGAATGATAGGTGGCTTGGAGCATTGTGTTTATCTGGGTTACTTTTTTTCTTTTTTGCAATCCAAGAACATAAGTCATTTAGGATACTTAATAAAGCTTGTATAGTTGTGCAAATATGGTTATAATTCATACCATTGCTGGTAGCTTTCAAAAAGAGGTTATATCATTTCTAGTGAATCACTGTGAGTATTTACTATCATAAAGCATTTGCACTGTACTTGTTAAAACATTTACTAGTATTATTTGTTTTCAATTCCCCAGCGATCACATGAGTGCTTACTCATCATCATAAAGCTTTTCATCATTTAGTCGATTTCCCTACTTGATAACTATCTACCAGTGGATCTTGATTGATTGCTACCTGCCGTTAGAATGCTCTCCTGACATCTTCCCATTTTCCTGGAATGCAGATGGCCAATACAGGTTGTTGGCCGCTCCTATTGAAGCAGTTCCAATTTCATACCGTCCTGCAGAACCCATCCAACAACCACACGGAAGTTTTCCTAATTCAGGGCCACTACCCGGTTTTCTACCTAAACTGTACAAACGAGGAAAAGGTCCAAACTCGCTGGTGCATGCTACTGCTCTTGCTTGTGGTGCTCGTGTCGTGCCTCCTGAGGAGGCTGCCTCGCTGATCAAGGCTATTGAGTCCAAGATCAGATCTGGAGGAGCCACAATAGCAAAATTGCCTTCAAGCAGCTTGACACCTCTAATTCCTGAGGTCGCCTCTATGTCATCTTCTAGTGAAGATGATGAGGAAAATGACCACAGTGAGCCACTGATGGCGAGTGTTGAACACAACTGCCATGATCAGAGCTCTGAGGAAATGAAGTTGGAGGCTGATCCACCATCAGAGTTGGAAACTGAAGCTGAGAATTGTTCTGCGCAGCCAGAAAATGAAAACAACGGTCCTACTCATTGCTGACAACTGAGAAGTGAGAACTGAAGTATTGAAGCTTTCTGAAATCAAAGCCCCACAAGGTAGTGATTATATATATACTGTAAATTTTGAGCATTTACATAAGATTGGATTTAGGATTCTAACAGCTTGTCTCACTTGAATTATAGATTCTAATTGTGATAACTCAAATAATTTACTTCAATAAAGGACTTGTAAAGAGGGTCGCCTTGCTGTTACAATATTTGTGGATAATGTATACATGCACTTTTATAGAAAGAAAACTAATGTCACAGTATCTTATATTGAAATTGGGTCCATATGTCTGGAGAAAACATTTAGCCATGTTATATGACCACATTTCACGGTTTAAGAATTTCACAGACGAAGGTCCAATTCGTGTGCAATAATTAGGGAAAAATCGCTTGTTTTTTTTTGACAATTCCTAATATCACTTTTGCTTTCATTTGAATGGTCTCACCAAAACTCCTGCAAGCTGAAATATAGACAATAGATATGGTTGCAAATGGTTCCTTCCATGCTAACATCTCCATTCTTGAAAGCTAGAATTTTCTCAAATAAATTTTCTCAATTTTTTTCTCAAGCTAGTTTAGTTTCTTGAAGCTGAAGCTCAATTTTGATACTGCAATATAAAGCGTGCGGGATGATGTCGAGCACCACAACGTTTACCTGGTGTCGTTCATTTCTTTGAAAAACAGCCCCCTTCTTCATTACTCTTTTATGCGGTTATGCCTGAATAATCCTAATCAAAGAGAAAATGTCAGGAAGAAGCCATGGTAGTTTGCCACTCGTGCACGATCCGGCACTATGTTGAAAAGGTTATCACTCGTTTAATCAACATTATCGCTGACCTTTCGACAACGAATTGGCAGAGCAAATATTGCACTAATCCATGGCGTCGCCATGAAAAGGAAATCACCCCTATGTCAAACGGCTGTCGTACCAGAGCAGCAGTGCTGTACCAGTGTACGGTGGGTGAACAAGATTCTCGTTTACTTTTTTCTCGGGAGAGAGGTTCAAAAGTCATAGTTCTGACTAACAACATTTCTTGGAAATCTTTTAAGTGATTCCCTTAATGCTGACACGATCAATTTCTCTGGGATATTTGTATGCCGTGCAGTTCTGATCTTCTCAGTTTAACGAAGGGAACGAACCTCCTTATCGTAAGTTGTACTTGTATTATCGTAAAAAAATATGTGTATTCCTTTTGTGTTGAATGTGTGAGAATAATTTTTTTGAAGGTACAAACAAATGAATAATTATTATAAAGTTAGAAAATGAATATAGAACAGTATTGTAAGAAATTCATATGTAATTAGTTTTTTTTCCTATAAAAAATCATACTGTATAACAGTTCAAGAAGCATACTCATTAATCCATTCATCAAAATGGAACAAGCAGGGCAGAATGGAGGTGTCTGATGGTATAGTAACAGAGGAGCAAGCACTGGACATATGATCAAATCAAGATGCTTTCAAATTCCAATTCAGAAAATAGAGATGTGTACAGGGGAAGGGGGAATGGAGCATACTGCATACACACCGTCAAGCTAGACAAACTGACAGAACCTAACAGACACGCATGAAACTTATAGGAAGCTAGCTAAACTCTACCGGTAGCTGCACATCGATCCAACATTTTCGTCATCATCATTGGCAAACACGCATAGACCCACTTCTTTATTGTAACCAACTGACTAGCTTCATCGCGTTCTTTATCTGCATATTTTTTATTCTTCAGTAACTCAAAAGTTTGGTCCAGCAGCGAGGATCTTGTCTGTCAGGCTGCTGTCTCCCCCGATCTTGTAGTTGGCGAACACCTCGAAGTTCTTCTTGAACAGGCCAGCCAGCTTCAGGAGCGTCTCCTTGTACGCGCCCTTGTCCGTCCACTGCACAGAGGCCACATTTCCGACGAAGAACAACTCAGACTCTGCATTTTTTACATGTATAGCAGAAATGGCATGAACTGATGCGTGATGCTACGGAGCTTACGGTGTTGATCGGGTCGAGGATTTCAGACGGGATGCCGTCGATTTCAGTGGGGATCTCCAGGCCAAACACCTCCGTCTTCTTGTAGTTGGCGGTGAGGAGCTCACCGGAGTGGATGGCGTCGATGATCTTCCTGGTATACGGCAGCCTGATCCGCTTGCCAACTCCGTACCTGAACAGTGAATTCAGAGTTAGTTCATGCCACAGGTAAATGTGCAATGGTGTGGACGCTGTTACAGTGGACAGTAGCAGATACCTTCCACCGGACCAACCGGTGTTGACGAGCCACCCGGTGGCGCCATACTTCTGCATCTTCTCGGCGAGCATGGCGGCGTACTTGGTCGGGTGGAGCATGATGAACGCTGCACCGAAGCAAGCAGAGAACGTAGCCTGCGGCTCCTTGATGCCATCCTCCGTGCCGGCAACCTGTTGAAATGGCAATGCAATAACGAAGATTCAGGCTAAATTCCTTTGTTGATCATCAAGGTGATAGGAAGGTAAGGCAGGTGACTCTGCTTCTGAACAAAAATTGTTTACCAGAGCAGTGTAGCCACTGATGAAGTGGTACATGGTCTGTGGAAGGTTTAGCTTGCTGACAGGAGGGAGGACGCCGAAAGCGTCGCATGCCAGGAGAATGACGTTCTTCGGGTGTGGCCCGACGCACGGTATCTTGGCGTTGGGGATGTACTCGATAGGGTAAGCAGCGCGCGTGTTCTCTGCAGAAAAGTTCAGAGTTGTGAGATTTCCATTTTTTGTTTTTTGCTGTAACTTTTGTGACTGACTGAAACCGGATTGCGCTTTGGAGATAACTTACCGGTGACAGATTTGTCGGTGTAATCAACTTCACGGGTGTGCTCATCAAAGACGACATTCTCCAACACTGCAGACGCCAAACATTTTCGATCAATGAAATGGCAAGCGGGAGAAACTAGAATGATCGACTAAATTAAACTGAAGGTTCAGGCAACTACCGGTCCCAAACTTGATGGCATTCCAAATATCAGGCTCTTTCTCCTGTGACAAGTCTATGCACTTGGCATAGCAACCACCCTCGATGTTGGACACGCCAGTGTCACTCCAGCAGTGCTCATCGTCGCCGATCAGCAGCCTGTTGTGGTCAGTTGACAGAGTAGTCTTTCCAGTACCTGCCGATTAAAATAACACATACACAAAATCAGCCAAAAAGATGACAGTAAACAACAAGGGCACTAACAACACAAATTCTTCAGTGAAACAGGCATCATGCACACAGCAACAAAGATCTCAAACAGATATGATGTATTCAGTTATTATATATATGGTGATCAAGGGGAACGCGTCAGATGAGACTGAGCAGGTGACGGCACCACGGGTGTTTTTTCATTTCATCCACCGTGGAGAGCCATCTTATTACCTGACAGTCCAAAGAAGAGGGCGACGTCGCCCTGCTTGCCCATGTTGCAGCCGGAGTGCAGGGAGAGGATGCCCCTCCTGGGCATGAGGTAGTGCATCACCCCGAAGAGCCCCTTCTTCATCTCCCCGGCGTACTGCGTGCCGAGGATCACCATCTCCCTCCTAGCGAGGTTGATGTCTACGCTCGTCGACGACGTCATGTAGTGCGTGTACCGGTTGCAGGGGAACTGCCCGGCGTTGTATATGGTGAAGTCCGGCGTGCCGAACTCCTCCAGCTCCTCCTCCGTCGGCCGGATGCACCTGCCAAGCCCATTTCCCCCACATATCCATTCCGGTTACTACTGCAATTCTACTACTTAGTACGCCGCTGATGTGAGATGATCCCCCATGTCTTGGTAGGCATGCAATAGGATTCCAGCACACACACACAACATATAGTCACATATATCTCATAATCATGGAGCAGTATACGTCAAGGTGAACTTATCTGGTGGCGACACGAACGAGCGACCTAAAGATAGTGCAAAGTGACGGCTTCACTTACATGTTGTGCATGAAGAGCGAGTGGTACGCCCTGGCCGAGATGATACGGACTTTGATCCGGTTCTCCGTGTCCCAGTTCAGGAACTGGTCGTTCACAAACACCTACAGAAATACAGAACAAAATATAGTTTGTTATCAACTGCTGATGTAAAAATTACTGACACGGTCACTGAACTTGAGAGTCGTATATCACCTTGTCAAGGGAGTTGAGGTAGTCGACGGCCCTCTCCCTGTTGGTGAGGAAAGTGTGCTCGTCCATCTCGATGTTGGGCGAACCCCTGCAGTAGGAGAGACACAGGCAAAACAGAGTGATCAGTCAGCTGCAAATCAGCAAGCAGAGCCTGCAGAAACAGAGCTTTGACATGCACAAGTAGAGTAGGCGGTGAACTCACTTGCCCCACCAAAGCTCCTGCGCGGAGGCCTCATCCTTGACGATGCGCTTGTCCCTCGGCGACCGGCCGGTCTTGGCGCCGGACAGCGTCGCCAGCGCGCCGGTGGACGTGATGAACGACCCCTTCTCGTACTTGATCGCCTGCTCGTACAGCTCTGCTCGCCCACATCCCACCAGAAAACACGTCACTTACACATGTCACGAGTTATAATCCCTGAACAAAAATTACAGCCGTTCTGGCGTCGCGTCGCGTACCAGCAGGCGAGAGGTTGTAGAGCACATGGGTGAACTTGAGGGAGCTGTCGCTGACGGCGATGGTCGGGGTGACGTGCGGGTGGTGGTGGTGCACCGGCTGCGGGTGCGGCGACGGCGCGCCCTTCGCCGCGGCCTCGCCCTTCCTCGCCGGATCTCCCCTGACGACCTTCGGCCCGGTCTCACGCGTCAGCGACGCCAACGACGCGCTGCATCAGACGTCATCGTGACAGGGATCGTTCCATCAGTTAATTACCACTTTATCAGGTCAAAATAATAATAATAAGAACATCCAAAGAAAATCAGCACTTGCTCAGTTGCTTGCTACCACTGCTAAACTTACTCCTAAATAAAAGTAAGACCATGTCTCAATGAACTCATTGTGTCTAGTTAGTCCGAATAGAATACTGTGTCGAGCGGCTTGTGTAGAACGATACGAGGTTTCCTCTAATTTCTTGGGGGAAATTCAGGCGCAAGTTACGCGACGGCAACAGCTACCGACGCCGCCGCGTCAGGCTGATGAGGAGATTATCGGGTATCCCCGCGGCGCAAGTTGCCGCCCCAAATTGCGCTCGCGTTCGTTACGTCTGAGACACCGCATCGGCGGCTGGTGCGTGTCGTATCGTATCCCCCAACAAGCCCTATCGCGATACCGTCGACGTTGCCGATCGACACAAACGGCAGCGTGCATGACGGAAGCATGTATTGCTCTCCCAAAAATACAGCTAAAATCAACGCCTCTGTTGTCTCTACCGCCCAATCGAATTCTGTCACGCCAAGGTTCTTCGCTCGCTCCCCAGCATGACTGCGAAATCGTATTGGGATTTTTGGGGGTTTGCGTGGATTCGGTGCGATGCGAGGGGGAATGCGAACTTGTGCGGTGCGTGCAAGCGGGTGGATGTTCTGGGCAATTTTGTGATGCGGTGCGGTGCGGTGCACGGGGGATGTCACGTGAAAGGCTGCGGCCTGCGGGCAGCGGGCGTGCATGGCACGGTGCGGACATCTTGTGATGATTGTCCTTTCTGCTGGAAAACGACCTGGGATTGTAATCCGGACCTACTTTTTTTTTTGTCCAACTTTTTGTGCGTATTAGCCGATTAACCCACGGTAATCCTAGTCCCAACATTACTTCTTTTTTTTTTTAGAAACACATTACTTGGTTTGGCCCCGTGAGTTACTTTTGGTTTATCTTTATTCGTTTCATTTACGCTCTGAACTCTACGTGTCTGTTACGAATTTAGGTTGCTGGATATGGTTGACACGCCCGTCCTCCAATGTCCACGTGGCAGAACAGGTGCACAACTACCATTACCATGGTCCATCCTTTCGTTCTCTTCCATGTGGGAGTAAAATTATCCAGCAACAACGTCATTTTATTTTTTTTTACTTTCGTCCTATCTAAAAGGGGATTGTTCGATTCCTCCTCTTCATTTTCCATTTCCATTTCTCCCGGCTAAAATTTCCCATTTTCATTTGTCATTCCCTTGTTAGTTTTCTTAACAAATGCATTGGCCAGTGGCCATTTCCAATTCAGATTGCTCGTTAGGAAGCAAAAGGCAAAGCCTATTATTATACGAGCGTTCTCAAAAAAAAAGAGAGAGAGAGAGAGAGAGCCGAGGAGTCACCTGATGGACTGGAGCTGCTGGCGCTGGCGCTCCTCCTCGGAGAGGGCGGCGGCGAAGGGCGAGGAGGCGCCGTCCTTGATGGGCGTGGTGGGCGCCGACCGCTTCCGCTGCAGCGAGTGGAGCTCGTCGATGGTCTGCGCCCGCACCGGCGCCGAGCTGTCGTCGTGGCATATCCCGTTCTCGTGCTTCTTCGTCTTCGCCCCGTGCGTCTCGATCCGCGCCAGCCCGTTCGGCGTGCTCGCCATGGCCGTCTCCGGTCGCGCGAAACCTTCAAAAAAAAAAGTAAACAGTCACGTTAATTAGCAACGCCAACATAACAGCGCTAGTTACGATTTACGACCCGGTTCTGCCATTGATGCTTGCAGCATCCAAATGCCGGTGCAAAAACCACGGAGAAATTAAAAGAGATGATGAACACGTACGAGGCAGTCGAGGAGGAGATCAGCAACGCGATAGTGTACAAGATGACAGGACAGGAGTGGAGAGGTGTGGGGCGTATTGGGCGGAGTCCGGGTGCGCTTTTAAAGGGGCAGCGAGTTAACCATGGTTAGGTGCTCTAACCATGAGTAGGTGTTCCAACCTGAGTTACGAGGCCCAAATACCGACGTCGTCGATCAGGATTGAGAAATGGGAAAATATACGGTGAAAACTATGTATACGGTGAAAACTTAAAACCTACCATTAAATCGAAAAATAAACGTCTAAGATTCATCTACGTTATCACGGGTAAAAATTTTACTCGTAAGTTTACTTATGAGTAAAAATTTTATTGAGACTTATATTGACATGGACGATTCTCGTACATTTAATTTTCAATTTAATGGTAATTTTTGAGTTTCTAATATATATGATTTGCACCGTATATTTGTCGGACTTTCTGTCCCACGGGAGGTTGTGGTTAACGTCGGAGGCTCGGAGCGAGAGGAATCACCACCAAATTCGCTGCATGCACACTTTGCACGGTTGCACCAGGTTTGGGACTTGGATAAATGAATTCAGACGGCGGTTAACTGGAAATTGGTTGGATTAGCTAAGCTACGAAATGGATTTGTCACACGCTTTTCCTTTTGTATAGATGCTCAGAGTAAATTATAGTTTACAGTAGTTATCCATCGAAACGTTCCACATATACACTTATAATTTTTTTCCTTTGAAATCAACAAAAACAAATTCGTGGTAACTTGTTTTCCTAATTAGCAAATTTGGCTCAGTAGATTCAGTGATTCACAGTAGTCACCACCGTTGTTTCCTTCTCAAAAGAGTATATCTATATATTTATATTAATTAATTTTTACAAAACTTATCTTTTACACCAACTGGTACTATGCTCCTGCTTTTCAACAGGACTAAAAGAAATACTAACAATTAGTTTGATGGGGTTGAATTTTATCTATCCACTTTTTTATGGGTTGATTCTCGTGCAGAAACACTCTTTTATTTTGTCTTTTAGGCAATATGGTTTTTTCATGTGGCGGATGAAGATGTGCGAGAAGATGTAGACGACTATCTGATTTTAATAGATTTTGCAGTATTAGTAGAGATACGTAGAAGCAGAAAGAAAAGGACCATCACTAATCTCAATTGCAAATAGAACAATGTGATTAACATTATTCATGTGGTTAGCTTTTATAAACGGAGCAGGAGATGACGAGATGTAGCTGTAAATTCATTGATAGGAATAGGATTAACACCCGTAGCAGTGAGAACTGGATTGCCTAAGATATATAAGTAAACAAATTGGCCAAGTATGTGGAAAAGGCATTAGTACTACAAAGTAGAGTAATTTACAAATAGGATTATTATGCATGCTTATCATCTGCACCGCCAATCATCCAGCTAGATCACTGGTGCGATTATGCAAGTCCTTTGTGGTCGCCATTATCATTCGCAGATAATCTGACCATCCTGGGTCGGCGCAGGTCGGCCTTCACCTGTTCATCTATCTAGCCGTTATCCAACCTCTCAAGATAAATCCAACAAAAAATAATCTCTCACAAAGATAATCCAACAAAAAAGGGTGTGCACAGCTGAGCAGCCCGACGTGCCCTCTAAAAAATACGTAATAAGAACAGAGAGCAGTGTTGACATTTGATCCAGTCCCAACCAGGGGCAACACAGTACGGTCATTTTACGGTTATCACGTATGGTGATCTTCTTAATTTTTAAAACCACAATAAATCTCATGATGATTTGTGTGATAACAGTCTTATCATTGTAAACTTACCTAAAATGATTTGGTGAACCTGATCCTAACTCCCAGGCTCCCAGCTAATGTGTCTGTGTGCGTCGCAAACATGCAATTGCAGATTTGCAGTCATGCAGATGTGTACGTGAGATGGATTGGATAGGGACGACAACTTATTGCTCCTACGCTGCTTAAGTTGAAACACCCTTTTCAACATTTGTTCTGTGAATAAGTATTCCATCTCAAATAAAAAAGTAGTACTAGTACAAGTCTTCAAACACTTGCACTATACTAGTCTAAAAGCAACGAATTTGCTGTGCATAATTCAACTCAAGCGAGTCTACTTCACCAGTCGATTAATGACAGACATTAACTACTTAGCCTAGTCATTTTTTTCCTACTTTTCTGATGTGTATCTGTCCTTTTCATTATCGCTCCCCCAATTTACTACTCACCGCTAACTCCTCAACCATGAGATTTCTCGAGATTTTGGTGAATGAAGGGGATACTGCCGGGAAGCTGAGGGAGTAATTAATTAATGGTTAATCCATTCACGTTAGGGTGCATGTAACCAAGTTGGTTCCGTGAACCCAGTTAAGCGTAGTGGATCAGATGCCATGAAATCGGGGAAATATTAATTTTCCTGATCATTTTAGTAGTAGTGCATTTTGCACTCAGAAGCGAAATGGAATTGTGAAAAGTATGGTGAATTTTCTTGTAAGCTTTTATTTTTCTTCCGTCAATTAATGACTCTTGATAATGCTTGGAAGTAGTAGTAGTGGTGACTATGCATCCCTGTTGTATAGGAGGTGACATGAGGAACAGAGGGAAACGTGGAGCTTGATGCGTGTACTACATCCCTCCGTAATGCAAGTGTAAGCGTTTGACTCGTTTTATTATTGATTATTCTACCTTCTTCCTGTGTGTATACATGAGTTTGTCTTTGCTGTCCATGTGCAGATACATTTCTGGTTATCTTCATAAAAAAGGAAGTCAATTGCCACGGTGTATATCCGACGCGAATCCGGGTCACACTCCTCAATCCTCATCTACATGGCATTGGCTATGCACAACATTATCCTCTGGATTTTTCTTCGTGTATTTAGACGTGTTCCTACTTTTTTTTTTTGAAACTCAACGTGTTCCTAGTTGGATGCCCTCGGCGGCTTCAAGCTCCAGGACTTGAACGAGTCTCCAACTCTCCAAGCACGAGCGTGATGGCCTAGTAGCAGCAGCGTGCCCTTGCCCCTTGCTCTTGGGGCAGTAACGGGAGGACGATGTTTCGCCGAAGTTATTGATCGAGCCGACTAACGACTGCACGCACGAGTGGACAATGTCTTTGATCATTCATCACTGGGTCAGTTTGCTCCTTTTTTTATAAAAAAAAAATCACTGGGTCAGTTAGTTAGTCAGACCTTCTTTGTTTAGGCTTAGACTTATTGGCCTAGATTTTTTAAGTCAACTTATTGACTTATATGATTTATAAGCCAGTGGATTTAATGTCCTAAGTTTAGTGGTGGAGTTATACATCTATCTCATATAAGAAAAAAAAGCTTCTCTAACCTAACTTTTGGCTTAATAGTATTAGAGTGGCTTATGGCTTTAAAAAAGTCAAATAAAAAACTGCTTGTTTGTTTTGGCTTAGACTTTTCGACTTATAAATTGGCTTATAAGCCTAAGCAAAAGAGGGCCTCAAAACAATCGCCGTCGACCAACCAAACAGGAAACAAGATTTGAGAAATAGTACGAGTTAGTAGTTCATATGCTACGGCGCCTACACCAGGTTGTGCACAATGCACCGCTAGGCTAATTCTGAAAGTAGACGTGCCTGTTGAGCTTGGACGACGTAGCACGAAACGCGATCGAAAGAAGACATCGTATTGTTCATGGGACGCGCGTTAATGCGTTATAGATGGGGCTAAAACCAAATGGCGATGGGAACACCTATATATTTATCGATAAATTTTCTCCTAAAAATTTGACAGATGTAATTATAGTATAATCGTAGTGTAATTACACTGTAATTTGTATGTAATTACACTGTAATTTGCATATAACTACAGTGTAACTTGTATATAAGTTTCACGTAATTTTGAATCGTTAGATCTATTACAAGATTTGTTTTGGTGAGGAAGAAAAAACAATCACAGCACACATATATGTGAAAGAATTTGTTCCCACAACCTCCATTTTACCGAAATAACATGTTACGGAGAGATTTTTGAAAGTTACATACAAGTTACATTATAGTTACAGTGTAATTACACTACGATTGTGTAATTACATGCAAGTTACAGTGTAATTACACTACGATTGTACTGTAATTACATCTGTCAAATTTTTCGGGGAAATTTGTCAACAAATATATAGCAAAATTGAATGGGGATTCACCCCCTCCATCCGGCCATCCCATGAGATCGGTGCACACACGCGTCGGTGACAGGCGCCGCGCGCAATGGGGAAATGGGAAACGGGAGGCAGGCGGCAGTGACAAGGTTGCGCCACACGCGCGGCGGGGAGCGGTTGCGTACGTCGATTGTTGCGTACGCCTACTCGCGCTGGCGGGGTTTTATGGCCGCGCGCGTCGGGCGAATCGAAGGCTTCGCGATCTCGCAAACACATGAACCGTGGCCCTTGCGCGCTCGACGTCATGCACGTAATCTGGGCAGTTATACACACCAACCGCCCGGCGTCTGGCTCGTCGTCACGTCGTCCCCCGCTATCCTCTCCACGCGCGCATATCTATCTATCTATCTCCGCTTTTGCGTGGCGTGGCTGCGCGTGACGGCGTGAGGCTGTGAGATGCGGACTTGTGGCACGTGCCTAGGCAAGCGCGGTGAGCCTCTCTGTTTTCAAACGCCCGGGGCAGGTTGTAACGCTCCGCTTTTCGTGAGTCGTTAAAAAAAAACTAACTCGGCAAAATCCTAATTGCGAAAATTTTCGTTCTTTGTGTGAGAGTCTAAGTTGTGCCAAGGATCTCAATTTAATCCCGTTGTTCCCTCTCATCGAAATCAGAATCCTCCACCTCGAAAATTCCTCTTCCGATTCGAGTCTCCAAAATCAAATTCCGAAAGTCAATCCCTTCCTTTGAATCCTTGCCGAATATTCGCTCCGACTAAAAAAAAAAAATAAATATCCAAGTTTCCGTTTTGAATCTCTTCCTTGACTTCTCCTCGAGTCTCCCTTGATTCCTCCCTAAACCATCGAGTTCGAATGTCAAATTTGAATTCGAATCCAAAACCCCAATTCGAATCCACTCCAAATCAGTCTTCTCTACAAAAGTCTATTTTACCTCCCTCGTGATGATTTGGGCCGAAACCTGCCGCTGGCCCATCTCTTCTCAGCTCCCTCCAACTCCAC